AAAAAAAAAAAAAAAAAAGAGGTTACGTTCGGTCGTCGATATTTTAAACTCAAAACCTTGAAATATTTTAAATTGCGATTGATAAATTAGAGTTGATGATATGTGTAAATAGTTTTAATGTTCCTTTGTAATAATTTGCATACTGGTTGCAGTGGTGTTCAAATATTTGCAGGTATGTTGGTATCGGGAAAGTGTCCATAGAAGAAATTTCACGTGTTGTAAATTTATTTATTATTTATTACATATAACTATATGTATTATATAATTATAGTTATAAATTAGGAATACTTTCATAGATGGAACTACACGTGTTGTGTACTATATGAAACGATTGTAAACTGTCGTCAAAGATGACAAGATATTTATTGCAAATGTATATTTAGTAGAAAATTAATATAGCTACTGCTTATTCCTTTTTCTTTTTTTTTTTTTTCTTCTTATTTTAAATTCATCTCAAACTGGTCTCTAATATTTCATTTATCAAACATGATTTATAATAACTACTCGTTACTGGAACTTCTCACGTCTAATATAAACTCAAATATTATAATTACATTTTAATAACAAAGTTAAATGCCACCAGATTTACAGCTAGTGCCTTGACTGTAGTTGAACGAACTGTCGACAAATGAATTTTAATTTTTTGATCTAATCAAACTCGTCGTGGTCAAGGCTTTCACGAATTTCTTCGCTGTTCAAGAAAGTGTATGTCACGTTGCAGTTCTAAGTTGTAAGTGAAATAATTGTAATTCAATCAACTGCATTTGACGAATATATTCGTCACGCACCACGTTTTGTTATTCAAATTGAAATATCGGCGAAATTAAGGGAAATCTTTTACACACGCCAGCAAGTGAAAAACGAAAATGAAGAAATTCACTTGAGAAAAGAAAGAAACAGATAATTGTTAATAGTGTGTATAATTACAGTGTATGAAATTATAATTTATTTTGAAATTTGGATATTTTTGCATATTTATTTAATTACTTTAAGTAGCTTTGTTTTTGGTAAATAACGTCTTGTTATTAGAATAAAATGAGTTGTTAGAATAAAATTACAATAAAACAGATGAAATTTTTTAATTTATCACTTTCTTTCTGTATGTTTGAGATCTTTTCTTTTTTTTTTCTTTTTTTGTTTTTCTCAGTTTTTTTTTAGTAATAAATATTTAAACTTTGTCAATAATGTCAATTTAAGTAATAAAATCATTGGTCTTTCAAAAAACGAACAAATTTAATTCAATCCTCAGCACAATTGTTAAGTATCTAAGATTACAATTTTTATTCTAAATTTTCAACAGCTACATTCACTCTCTGTACAATTTATTTACTATTTTACGTATTATTTACGTAAACAGTTAGATATTAGTAACAAGTTAAATATTAATAAATTAGATATTAGTAACAAATTAGATATTAATAAATTCGTCTTTCTCCTCTATTATCCGTAAATAGAGTTAGATATTAATAAATTCATCTTTTTCTACATCCATTATCCATATTTATAAACTGTCAAAATATTTTACATAAATTTGAATTTCAGACGCATATTTTTAGAATGCATCGAATATATCACAACCTCAAAAATCTTGTCTTCATATTCAACGACAGCACACGCATACAATCTTTTCTAAGAAAAAAAGGAATAAAATATCATAAAATTAGCTTATGAACAAGTATTTTAATTGCAAAGCAAGATCTAGAAGCAGATTTTCCAGATGATCGACTTAATAAAGAAATTTTTGATCTACTCCAGAGATGGCTAACTGGCGGTCCGCGGCCCTTACCCCTACTTTCCTGATCGCTAGAACTACCCCCTCCACTGCATCGATCTCCCCCCCACGTTGAAAATGTCGCACGTAAATATCTTTTCGAATTGTGATGATGCAAAAAATATTTTTAATCTAACATGAATGATATTCGAAAGCCAAATCGTAATCAACAACCGGTAAGAATATTTCTTTCAAGGTCACATTTTTTGCATCACATTTTGAAAAGATATTTAGATAGCCCACGTAAATGGATCAGCCTGTATATTCAGCCGTGCAACAAGAATCGGCCTTTAGGTGCAATCGATAATTACTTTATCTTATTATGTCATATAATATTGCATTTATTTTGTTACATTCTATTATATTACATTATACTTTCATTATATCCATATTATATTGTATTATATTGTATATTGTATATATATATATTTATCCTGAAAATTATTAACTTCTGAGTTTACCTTCCTTTTTCTTATATTATATTTTCGTTAGATATCAAATATTTATCGAAATTGTCGAGTATCAGAAAAAAAAAAAAAATGGAATCCTTCAGACTCGATATGCATCGATATCGGAAGTTGAAATTCACAGAAAAGTATTGATAATGTCGATAAAGGAATCAATCACGCGACTAGAAACCGCACATACTTTCCCGATGTATTATAATATATTCGTCTATTCTAGGAAATAGATAAAATTATATATATATTTATATATATATATATATCATTTACATAAATGAATATTATTTTCAATCAACATAACGTAAAATGCTTGCAAAAAAAAAAAAACAATATGCAAAAGAGCAATTACGTATTAAAATGTGCATTTGCATCGACATTTGCCATTATCATTTGCAACAGCTAAGTCCTGTATGAAATACAAACTGACAACAAACTTCAATTTAATGAGAGTCGATTGAAAATTGCCGATAAACTTGAAAGATTTCACGGATCTTTAAATTCCGAAAATGAAATCACAATTTTTAATAATTTACTGATATTGATATAGAGACTATCTTGGAATGTAGCATCTCAAACAGAAGCTAAAGAACGTTTTTGAAAATCTAGAACGTAATCAAATTTACATTTTAAAAATTTCGTGATAACGATGCATTAATTCATTTTTTCACATGCTTCATATTCATAAGTGAATAATAACTTATTATAAATATTATCTTTCGAACAACGGCACATTCCACTTCTAATTTTTTTGTGAAGTAAAGTATTGAAAAACAGAATACGTAGTGAACTTGTTGAGAAAGTAATAATCCGTTCAAATAATCCGTTCAAAATGTAAGTGGAACTTTTTTTTAAATATTTCTACGCGACGTGCAAGTAACGGAGAAAAATAATAAAATTGCATCAGACCTCAATGAGTTGGAAAAAAGAAAATATCGCAGACATAGTATAGTTAATTAGAAAAGACTTAAACGTGTAAAATAATTATCTCACGAATGAATTATTCACCTTTTTCTAAAGATTTCTGTAAAGAGGAACGTTGAAAGAGTGTGTTCGTATTCAATAAATTTTAATAGATCTGTAGTTGAATTATAGCCACTTGTTCCCAATGCTTAATTGATAGAGCCGACGAAATTGTTACAAGGAAAGAAACAAATCACACGTAACAGCATGAAGCGTAATTAGAATAATTCAGAAAAATACTTGACATTTTTTTGAAATTATTTAAGTTGTTTAAATCATCGCAGCACTTAATAAAAAGGGCCACGATGGCTTACCTTGAAATTCTGTGCGCTGTCACCGCGTTACTTCTGGCTTTCTGCTACTATTCGACATCAGCGTTCGGTTTTTGGAAGAATCGCGGAATCCCAGGACCGAAGCCGGTGTTCTTCTTTGGCAACAGCATGGACATCTTATTCTCGCGACTTTCCACCGCGGAATATCTGCACAAAGTGTACCAGCAATTCAAAAACGAGCCGATGTTCGGGGTATACATGAGAAGATCGGCGATTCTTGTTCTAAAAGATCCGGAATTAATCAAGGACGTTATGGTCAGGGATTTCTCGAACTTCTCCGATCGAGGATTGATCGTTTACGAAAGGGTACGTCACGTTGCATTACCAAATCGTAAATTAATTTCATCCGTTTCTTACTTTTATCCTACTGTCCTGTCAATTTCCAAATTGCATTAATATAATACAATTGTTCCCTCTCCATATTTTATTAGTTTATAGTTTGCATTATAAGTACATTTTGTTAGAATAATTCGAAATGGTTGATATTTAATTGTATACGTTTCTAAGTCGTAAATTAATCTCATCTATTTATTAATTTTTCTTCTCTGTCTTGAGAATTTCTAAATTGTATTAATACAAAAAATACTGTTTTGGTCTTAAAAGATAAGAGTCAAGAAAAAGACGTCCTTGTCCCTTGAAATCTCCAAACTATTGCAAACTAATTACAGACAGAGCCGTTATCAGCACAACTCGTCAATCTGGATCCAGAAAGATGGCGCCCGCTGAGAACACACCTTCACCCCTTGTTCT